CCTTTTTTTTTTTCTATTTCAAAATGTAGATTTTTTAGGTGGTTCACTTTCTTGTGATCTCCTTTATTCAGTTACGAGAATGCTCGGAAGTTACGGGTTGCTATAATTCACGGACTAGCAAGGATGGCTGCAATGATGGCATCAACTTACAAGGCATATCTTGGTGTGGGACTTGGCCCACTATCGGTAAGACTTTGCTATTAAAAATTTCATATTCGAACGGTAAAAAGAGTTGGCAAATCGAAGTTCCCTTTGCCAAAGACTGAAGTATGTGATCTGTTTTTTGTAGTTCTTGACTAAATTTAGAATACCACATCCGGGAAGAGTAGGGGGAAGGATTTTTATCGACATTGGCATGCCCTTGATGCTAAGCTGGGTTCTTGGTGGTAACGGGTGAGTTTGATTTTTACTTTTTTCCCTGTTTACAAGAAAAAAAAAAAAATATTTATGCCAATTTTATTTTATTTAAAAAAAGTAATTCTCTGCTTCTTAAATACATTCATTTTTTCTCCGAGGGCAAGAATTGCTTTATACGAGTAACTGAATTTGTTTAATAATGGTCTTCTGCCTCCAAAAGCTGAGCTTTTCTGTCATGAACTATTTTAGCAAAAAGGGTTTGCATAGTTTGAATTCCATGCATATGTATAAAATTCCTCAAGTAATGAATTTATATATATATCCTCTGCAGTTCGAAACTCGAAGGAAGAGCACTACATTGTCGACTTTCTGACAAAGTATGCCCAGCTTAAACCACAAAATATTTTCTTCTTCTTTTATTATGTACAATCGCTATATATATTAGTTCAAGAGTTTGAACTTGTATTATTGTGTGTATGAAGGCCAATGACCAGTTAAGGACATGGTTTACTGATGATGATGCTCTCGAACGAGCTCTTGATGCGGAGTGAGCATTTTATCTTGCCTTAGAACTTATAAAATATGCTTTGACACCATTTTTAACGTCGTCTGATTATTTATAACTCAATCTCACTCTTCTTTGTGTAGTTGGTTTTTATTTCCGATTGGAGATTCAACGGCAGCATCTGAAACTATATTCCTTTGTCGAGATGAGAAGAAACCCTATGTAATTGGGTATGCTATCATTTAAATTTTAACCTAAGTCGATACCGACTTATATAGGTGTCAATACATTACAATTTTTAAATTTCAAGCTTTTGAATATGTTTGATTCGTTACATACAGTTGTATTGAAAGGAAATATATAATTTTTCAAAATTATAATTAATTACTAACACAAACTTTTATGCTACCATTTGCACCTTTCAAAAAATATTTTTGGAAAAAATATAATTTCTTGCTCAATTGGTATTCTTTGAAAGATGACTAT